AGACAGAAAGTTGGGATCCTAGCAAGGTGTCCTAGCACGGTGCCAACGGTATTTCCAACAAGAGGGCCCGCCAACCGGGATCTCCAACGGGTTTCAGGGAACACGAAGCTCGCGCGACCTTGCGACGGGAATCTCTAAGAGTGCTTTTGGCATCTCGCTACGACAGTGGCCGACTGTTTGGCACATGTTGATGGTGGACGGGCGAAAACCGGTTACGGGCAGATCCTTCCACGGTGATGGGTCTATCCCACGGCCCGCCCGACGCCAATGACATCAGAGACAAATTAACGGAGAGGCCAGAACGCGAAGTTCGCTGAGATCCGAACTTCGCCGGGGCACGACATGGCAGGAGACGGCGTCAGAGACGGACGTCCAACATGACTTTCGTCATTTCACTGAACCGAACGACAACCAGGGATTTGCACGACAAGCGCGCGGTGCAGCGTGTACCAGCAACCGCGGAGTCTCACACTTCTCTGCAGTCCTACAAATCTGACATGGTAGGCAACACAACCGCATCTCGTCCCTCGCCATTCTTTTCCCTCAAACTGAAGGACTAAAGACCGGTTCGGATGCGGCGACATTTGGGGATCCTCCGGGACGACGTCGTGAACCGAAGCCAAACAAAGCATTCAGTGACGATCCGTAGACGAGGGTCTGCGGTTCGTCGACCGATGCAATCTCCGAAAAAACGGACATGTATTTCATCCTAACAAACACCCCCGGTCATGCCAAGGAGTTTCCTATGCAGTCCCGTATGTCAGCCGCTTTCTCCTCAACCTCACGAAACAACGAATAGTTTCGAACCTGACCTGCTATCACCAAATCTGGCCACCCATCCACAGATTCCACACGTTCAGGCCCACGCATCGGCACGAATTTGGACCCTTCAATCACAACCTCGTTGCGTGACACGAGCACAACTGCGTCGACGAGTTTCCTGCTCTTGTTCGAAGCAGCGACACACAGAACTCTGGCGAAATCAGATCCGGACACAGTCAACCGCACACAGCAGTACGACACAGCTCGTGGAGAAATCCAGGGGCAACGGAGCGGGTACTGGTCCAGGAACGAGCAGCGACGAGCGCAGTCCATCAACTCTTGTTTCCTCGAGCCACCCCAAGTTCGTGGTGACGACCTGACGTTGTGGCACTCGAGGCGACTGAAATAGCGGCTAATGCAGCTTAGTGCTTTTCGCATTTGGTTCAGGAACTTATGTCCGAGGACGGCGTCAGGCAGTGGGATGAGGTCCCCGAACTTCAACATATTCGCGAACTTGTACTGGCTTGCCCAAGGGCAGTGACTCTCCATACTGGCCCAATTGCCCTCGCCCCAGTCGTCAAGATGCGCGTCCCTGCATGGAACGACGGTCATCCATGGGTCCTCGTCGAAGTCCTCTGCGGTCGCTCCGTGGATCGTCGTCACACCGTTGAAATGCCGCACGGATTTCGCACAAGGACGAAAAGTTTCTGCTAAGCGAATGTGCGTCTCGACACTCATGGCCTGTGGTCTCGAGAAGATCGACTCGAAGATGCGTGGTGTCGAGAAGGTCCCCTCCATCACGCAACCTGCACACCACGCGCACATGCCCGACGACACACACGGGCACGGAGACACTCGTAAACGCGTCATGTCTCGCGATGTGCGACCCATGGCATTAGACGCAGTGTATGCCCCAAGATCCGATTTCGGGTTGCCGGCTTCGTCGGTGCTCACATCTACCGGCCCGCGGGCCAGCCGCAAACACGCCCAGCGACATGTTCGCCTGGATCCGAACTTGGAGAGACTGCGCGGGAAAGACGAAGCTGTCTCCCAAACCCGACGTCGAAAACTGCCAAGAAGTTCGGATCCAGGCGGACTTACAATTTCGCACGAATGAAAAGTTGTGGCAATCCACCGGCCGCCAAGAAGTCCACAGTCAGACCCCGCACCACCCGAAAGGTGAAGCATGCCGGGGTCCGAAGTCGACGGTTTTCCGACGAACCGTGCAGGGGAAGTTCGGATCTCAGTGGACTTTGCATTTTATAGAATCCTTAGTCCGCCGTGATCCGAAATTTACGATTTCATGAGGAACCGTGCATGGCAGGTTCTGATCCACGGCCCTGCAGGAACATCTCCTGCCACATGCATTGTGAAAGGAAGACAGCTCAAATTTGCCGGGATCCGAACTTGGAAAATTCGCCGGGATCCGAACTTGCGAAAGGAACATCTCCTGCCACATGCACTGCGAAAGAAAGACAGCAGGTTCGGATCCACGGCCCAGCAGGCGAACCCGACGATGGGACGAGGAACCATTGCACGAGAAGTACGGATCCCGGCGGACTTCGCATTTTTTCGAAACAAAAGTTGTGGCAAACACCTGTTCGCGAGAAAGGACACAGTCAGTACCCACACCATGCGCGGCGCGAAGTTCGCCGGGGTCCGAACTTGCCACGCGATGTCCGGATTCACGAGAGGGTGTTCGCTGGGATCTGAACTTCTCGAGACCGCATGGGAGAGAATCAACCAGCGGGCTACACATTTTTTCAAATACAAAGTTGTGTCAAACCCCGGGAGCTAGAAACCCGCGTTCTGAACCCGCACATTGAGACAAGCGAAGTCCCCGGGGTGCGAACTTGACGTCTGTGCGAGGAACCGTGCAGTAGAAGTCCGGATCCCGGCGGACTTCACATTATCACGGATCCGAGGTTCGCCGAGGTCCGGACTCGGCGAGTGTGCAAGGAATAGTGCGAGCGAGGTTTGGATCCGCAGGCCAGCAAGAACCTGTAGTTGGCCGGGACCCGAACTTTGAGAAATTACGTCGGAGATATACACCTGTCTGCCAAACTCGCTGTCCTGCGAATTTCTTGAAGTTCGGATCCCGACGGACTTCATATTTTTCCACGTCCCAGGCTGTGGTTGCGGACCTGGGTTGCGAGGGAGACATACAGCTGCATGAAGTTCGCCGGGATCCAGACTTGGCGAAATTGCATGGGAGACGTACACCTGTCTGCCGAACTCGCCGTCCAGCAATTTCTTCAAGTTCGGATCCCGACGGACTTCCAATTTTTACACGTCCCGGGCTGTGGTTGGGGACCGGGGTTGCGAAGCATGTTCGAACAGCTGCATGAAGTTCGCCGGGATCCGAACTTGGCGAAATTGCGCGGGAGATGAACACGTGTCTACCAAACTCGCCGTCCAGCAATTTCTTGAAGTTCGGATCCCGACGGACTTCTAATTTTCCACGTCCCTGGCTGTGGTTGCGCACCGGGGTTGAGAAGCGTGTTCGAACAGCTGCACAAGCTCGCTGGGATCCCAACTTTTTCTGGTGTTTGATTGCGCCATCAGTTCGGTTGGAACGGCCACGTTCCGATCACGAGAACAGTGCCGACGACGCGTGGGGTGGTGGGTGCTCAAAGTTCGACGTCCGACGAGGTTCGACGCCCGCCGAGGTTTGATGTGGAGCCAGGTTCCGTGGGCAGCATGGTTCGATGTTATACGAGGTTCGATCGGGATCAGCGTTTTTTCGATCGGTTGTGCGTTTCATTCGCCGGTTTCGACCGTGCACATGATCATTTGCCTTGAGGATCATCCGCGATCGTTCTCCACGATCAATTAGCACAGAACAGTCGATTGGTTGATCGACTGCTCGGTTGGCGATTGGTGTGGTGGTTGATCAACCAGCAGAGCAATCGCCAACCGAGCTGTCGACCAATCAGTTGATCCTGGCAGATTTCCTGACCGATCGACGGTTCGGTCGAGGACTGTCAGGTGGGTAAATAAACAGGTCGCTCGCCGGCGGGTTGATCTTCGGTGCAGCATACACGATCAATCATCCGATCGCAAGTAATCTTCTGTCGTTTCGCGATTGGTCGGTTGGATGCGTTGTTGCCTCCTGCATTGGTTAATCATCCGTCGGGCAGATCAGCGGCGCTGTTGTTGGGGAGGCAAACAGTATCTATCACCCGATCGCGAGTGGTCGACTTGCGTTTCGTGATGGGTTGGTTCATCACGTGTGTGGTGTACATATTGTCATGGATCTGATCGACCATCAGATCACGAGTGATCTGAACACACACAATAGAAAAAACAACACACATGCGGTGGTTGCGTCGACACGGCAGACACGACCAATCATCCGATCGCGAGTGATCTAATCGTGTTTCGCGATTGGTCGATGGATGCGTTAGCTGTGTCGACATTGCCACCATGATCATCCATTGGGCAGATCGGCGGACATGACATTGGGACAGCCCACAAAACCGCCGCGTGTTTCAATTGATCATCCATTGGACAGATCGGCGGACATGACATTGTGACAGCACACAAAACCGCCGCGTGTTCGATCCGAGCTGTGTCGACATTGCCACCTCGTGTTTCGATTGATCATCCATTGGGGCAGATCGGGTATGGCAAGTGCTCACGATGACGTTGTGTTTCGTTATTGGCCGCGCCGTGTTCGATCCGAGCTTCCGTGCTTCGCCACTTGAGTACAGCACGAGCGCAATCGTCTGTTGATACTCTCCTCATACATCCTCACACATCCACACACAAGCGGAATCGAAGGGTGAACCATGACGTTCGTCCCTGACCGCGCACGTTCGCGCGCATCTCCCCGCGAAAAACGCGCGCGAACACACACGCACGCGAACACATATGCACAGACAGGCACACACATGCACACACACACACACACACACACACACACACACACGCGCGCCGACACACGGCGCCCGCACACACACGCCCCTTAGGTACAGACGCGCGCACGATCCTGCCTCGCGCGTGTGGCACACACTTCAATACAGACACAAACACAAAGGAACACGCACTTGAACACACACACACACACAATGAAACATGCACAAACACACAATCACACACAAATACACACACACACACACACACACCCACCCGCACACATGCAGCCACAAAATCTTTCGATCTGCGCGAGCATATCGTCACAAAAAACCTCCCCCGCACGCGCGCACATGCAAACATACATCCCGACTGCGTGCGCACTCACCGTGTGGAACTGCCGAGTGAAGATGAGCGTGAACCCCGACGTTTGTCGTGACGGCACTCTGTCCACCTTTGGGCGTGCACTTCGCGTTTGCTGGGGTGTTGCGTGGGGTGGCGATCGCGCCTTCTGAGAAAGGAGATCGGGAGCGACGTCGAATATGATGTGGACAGCGACTTGGTAGGCGGAGGGACATGCGAGGGCATGTGGGGTGCGTCGGTGCCACGAAACGTGCGCAGTGAAGAATGGCTGTGCCAGCTATGGCGCGCCAGCTGTTGACGAGAGTGGCGGTGCGTGGCTTCCGTCGGGCAGCATCTCCCCAGCAAAAAATGCAAAACGCATCGTCAATGCCCAGGGCGCCACTCGTATTTGTACGCGCGCGGGACACGAGGCCCCCTCGGGCCTTCCATTTCGGATTTCCGTGCAGGGTCCGCACGCCGACTCGAGTCTGTTCGATCCACGCATTGAACGGTGGCTGCACGTCGAAATTGTCGCGAGGGGGGCCTGGTGCGTCGAAATGTGACAAAAACGTCCCTACGGGTTGGCCCTTCCCGGACGTTATTGGAAAACGGGCCCTTGTTCCGGGCCCCTCGCGTTCGTGTCTTCGGGTTCGCGGGCCCCGGTGGAGGGGGTCTCAGGTGTCGGCGAGGGGCAGTTTGTACGTTCCAGGGGTG